TCATACAACATCGCAGCACAGCACACTCCATTGCTTCCTTCTATTGCAATCAGACTGCCAACGTCTCCGTCTTCCTTGATATCAAGGGAACCTTTGATACGGCTCAGCCTGCCCTCATTTTAGCTGAACTTGCATGGTTAGGGGTTAAAGGGATCCTTCTTCAATGGATCGCCTCTTACCTCACTGGACGTCAAGCCCGGGTTCGCGTTGAAGGGTCTATATCTCCTGTTCAAGAGATGAGCCTCGGCACCCCTCAAGGTGGAGTCCTGAGTCCCACCTTGTTTAACACTCTCATGCACTCCATTGCATCTCTCCCGTGGCCGACAGAAGTTGTCCACTCAGGATATGCCGACGATGTTCTCCTCCAAGCCCCTGACTACCTCAGCATGCAGGAAGCCCTTGATCTGGTCTCCAGAGAGTGTGATTCACTTGGTTTTCTTCTTTCAACTGCAAAAACAAAAGCCATGTGGCACGGTCGTGTTGTACCTCCACCCCTTCTCTTATCAGGAACGCCCTTGGACTGGGTTAATGAGACAAAATACCTGGGTGTGTACCGTATGTAACTCGCACACGTTGTCAGATCCCTGAAGTCCGCTATCTTCGAGACATATGCATTCGACGTCTCGCTCCCCTCTCTACCATGTGCAGGGGTTCCCTTGGTGCCACCATCCCTGTACTTCTCACCATGTACAAGTCCTTTGTCCGTTCCTGTGTTGACTATGCCGCCCCTGCCCTCGTCAACATTAGTCGGACTGCTGTCAACCGTCTCGAAGTTATCCAGAGGAAAGCTGCTCGTATCATCCTTGGGGCTCCTCAGTGGACACGCTCTACTTCTCTATATACCGAACTTGGTCTTTCCCCCTTACAGGATCGTGTCCAGGAGTTTTACCTAAAAACTACCGTTTCCATTCTACGGGATCCTCAGGGCAACTATGTCCAAGCCAACTTGACTCCTGCTGTCCGAGGCCGACCTCCATCAAGAAGACAGTGGCGAGGGTCACTCATCCGAGCCCTTCAGGAACATGACCTCTTGCCTGATATTGTTGTCACCCCTGCTGTTGGTTCATCTCCTTCTCCCTGGCTGGATTTTCAACCTGAAGTGATTGCTCTCGGTGGACTGCTCCCGAAGTCCCACGTGAACCCTGTTAGTCTCTGCAAATACCACCTCTCCAGGGTCGCCCACTGGTCCCCAGGTACGGTCGTCTTCTACACTGATGGCTCTGTTGACCCCGCTACAGGCCGGGCCGGGGCTGGTGTCTACATCTCCTGTCCTGATGTCCCTGAGCCTATCAAACTTTCTCTCAGAGTTTCTGACGGGGCACCCTCCACTCAGGCTGAACTGATAGCCCTCCTTGCTGCCCTTCTCGCTGAGGAAGAAGCAGATGATTTCTGCCCCTTGCTTGTCTGCTCCGATTCCAGGTCTGCTCTCAATGGGATCGCATTTGGATCAGGGGAAAATAAGGACCTCATCCTCCGAATACGAGGGTTAACATCCACACTTCAGGATGCAGGCCGTCCTGTGACATTCCTATGGATACCCAGTCATGTCGGTATCTTGGGGAATGAGGCAGCAGACGGCCTTGCCAAGACTGGCTGCAACAAGGCCACACCTGACTACGTTGTTCCTCAAACATTTTTACAGCTTAGGACCCAAATTCGCCGCAAACAGAGAAGCTCGGGAAGCAGCCATCCCCCTGGACTCCCCGCCCACTTGGTACGATGTCCTCCGTAAACTTCCTGACCTCTCGTATGTCTATGGGAAAGGGTCTCGGAAAAGGGGCGTGATTGCTGCCCATATCATCATTGGGTATGACTTTGCTTGGGAGATTGGTATCCCTGTATCCCCTGAGCAATGCTCTTGTGCATTATGCAGAAGACCCAACAGCCGCACCCTTATCCATTACCTCCTAAGATGTCCCCACACACAACGCTTCCGTGACGCCTGCTGGACCACCACTCCACGACCCCCTGACGGAGACACGATGATCCTCCCCAAACTGGCCAGATATTTTGTAAATAATATTGATAATGTGTTAAAGGAATATCCTTCCTTCCTTCGGCTTTAGTAAGCCCCTTTATAATATTTATGCAGTGGTCCCTCGGTTAACGAACACAATTCGTTCCAGAAGGTCGTTCGTTAACCGAAAATTTCATTAACCGAAACCATTGTTTCAATGGGATTATGGGTAATTGGTTCCAGCTCACCGAAAATTACATACAAACTAAAAATAAATGCAGTAAAGTACACTTACTTTGAGGTGTGCATGTAGAAGGCTCCTGGTTGATGATGATGATGATGGGAATTAGAAGTGGGGGTGGAGAAGGGAGAAGAGAAGGCATTGGGGTGGAAGAGAAGACACCCCATGCTTCATATCGCCATTTCACCCATAAAGTTTTAGTTCACTTGGTGTAATTCAAGATTATTTTCTTCAAATCAACACTGCACTGCATTATATATTATCAATATGTAAAATAAACTTCAGAATGACCAATAATTGTACAGTACAGGTTGACAATCCCTTATCCGAAATCCTTGGGGCCAGAGGCATTTCGGATTTCGGAATTTTTCGGTTTTCAGATTTTTATTTATTTATTTATATTTTTAATGTGTATTAGCCCACCTGGACATAGATCACTGACCCACATCAGGGCCTGGGGGGGCGAAAATATAATAAAAATTATAGTAATAATAATAATTATAATTCATAGGTCTAGATCGTGTTTCTCACTTTTGATCTTTTTTTCATTCTTGTATTTCCTTATTATTATTATTATAATTATTTTATTATTACAGTATTATAGTTATTATTATTAATTTTTTGTTTTATTTATTATTATTATTATTATTATTATTATTATTATTATTATTATTATTATTATTATTATTATTATTATTATTATTATTATCATTATTATTTTATTTTGGTGTATTTTTATTAAAATTTTTATTTTCTATGAATAATAATTATTATAATTATTATTACAATTACATTTTCGCCAACCCCCAACCACCCCAACCAACAACCACCCCAAGGCCTGATGTGGGTCAGTGGTCTATGCCCGGATGGGCTGATCCTTGTTAAAAAAAAAAAAAAAAAAAATTAATTGCCCCATAATTTTTTTTTCGGTTTTCAGAGCTTTTCGGTTTTGGGAATTTCGGATAAAGGGTTGTCAATCTGTACTGTAAAAACGTAAAAATAGTTTATGTTCAAGAGAGTCTCAAGCAAGATGCTTCCTCCACCGAGCAGGGACACACACTGACGCCATTTTGGGTGAGTCAAGTGGCTGTTTGGCGCGCTAAAAACTAGTTCCCTGTACTTCAATTAGTTAAATAATTGTTAAAATGACTAAAAACTTTAATATAAGACTTGGAAAATTGTTGAATAGTACAACCTTCTTGATATTTACTCAAATGGTTACGAATTTAAGCCCTAGAACCGATTACTGTGTTGGCGGACTAATACTACAGCTGGTGAACAGGCAAAAGCAGGCGAAAACATGTTGGGAAAAATTCGTAAGGAATTTGTTAACCGAATTTTTTTCGTTAACCGAATTGAATATTCTTATGGAAGGTAATTCGTTAACCGAAATTTCGTTAACCGAGGGATCACTGTACTGTATATACTTGTGACACTTGCCAGATGCTTCTGGTGTTATTGTACAGGGGTACCTAGTGACAGCACTAGGATCCCACTTCCTCTATCAAGGAATAAAATATTGAAATTGAAAAAAAAAAAATTTACGAAGTCATCAGGTTCAACTCTGGCTAAAGCTGTAGCTTTCTATAAAGATGTCATAGCTGTTGCTGAAACTGTTACTGAACATGTAGTTGTTGCTGAATCTGCTGCTGATGCTGAATTTGATGGTGTAGCTTAATTTTTAGTTTTTTTTACGGGGATTAGCCCACCCGGTTACAGGTCACTGACCCACATCAGTTGGTGGTTTAGGCCTTCGAATAATAAAGCTGCTGAAAGAACCTTGCACAGCTGCTTTCTTTTCTCATTATACATCTTTATGTAGAGGTCATTTGCATTTTTCACATCCCTGTTAATTTTAATGCTTCGTTCTGTTAATAGATCCACTTCTGAAAATATTTTCATTGCATGCTCCATATAATTGGGATGCAAAAACGCCATAAGAAACCTGAGAAAGTTTTTCTCCTTTTCCTTATCAGATGCGTGAAAAAAAAGGCCCACCAAACTGTGACTGTTTATACTAGTGGTGCTGGCATCACCACTCACAAGCCCGGCAGCCTCTGTGAGCAAGGCATGTTTTTGGGGGGGAGGGGGGAGGGGTGGGGGGGGTATAATACATATCAGGATTTAGTTACTGTTTATATGAACATGCAATTATATTTTATTTTTTATTCTATTTTCGTTGTAAATACAAAGAAAATAACGATGTAGATTTAATTGGGTCCTAAATTAACCAGGGTGTTAAATATGAATTGTTGTTAGTAGAACCGTCATTATCGGAGGCTTTCCTGTATACAGTTAGAGTCCAGTTTAGTTCAGGATGAATCAGAGTCAAGTTGTCCAGTCCAGCTACCAGTGTAGTTCTTTAAATCTTCAAGGGTGAGTCACTTGTAAGATTCACTTGAGCCACAGTGGCAGTGGCCCTAAACTTTGGCTTCACTCGACCCTGAGGGTTCTTCATAGCTCTGCTGTTGCTCCTGGTTTATTTACTTTACACTCAACACTGGATGTATCTTCAATGTGTGTTGCATATCTTCAACACATCATTAGTCAGCATCTACAGTATAGGATACATCCTTTTTTCAATGCATTGTTATTCAACATCTATGGTGTCAACAATAGTCTATGTCTACAGCATTTCTTTAACACACTCGTCAGTCAGTACATCATCAACACCATCACTTGTCAACATTTCTTCAGTACATCATCATTCCCATAATCAATCACTATGTTTCATCCATGCGGGAAACATGGCTAGTCCAACGTAGTTGTTCATGGATAATAGTAGCCTCGATGCTCTTACAGATGGTGTCAGCGAGAACACTGGCATTTGTTCTCTTGTCTTCCCAGCGAACTCATACAGCATCAAAATGTCCCACAACCAGAGAGGTATAAGTATGTACTGTAACAAGTGGTACTGTGACCCATAATGTTGCTGAAATACAATAAACAGTGACAGTTGTATGGAATATGAAAGAATGGAAAATGAAAATATTTATATGGAAAATCAGAGACCCTCTGGACTTGGTATTGAGGTGATGCATATTTATAGATTCATTTTGACTTGGTTGTGTAAATTTGTAGAGTCAATGTGTATAGTTAAATTTCTTTCCTTTTCAGGATTATTATGTACATTTATTTCATTAATTCATTAAGTAAAGTGAGTTAAGTATTATTACAGTGTTTATTTAACCTGACTCTGTATTGGCTTTCTCTGTATGAATGTTGAATTATTTAAATTGTAATTGATTCATGTATTTGAATAAATTTATGGGATATGCCTCGGTTGCTGGAGGATCGGCTTTTTTCACACTTCATTTTTCCAAAGCAGCTTCACCCAAACGTTTTCAAGTCTCCAACTACAACCTTTATGCCTCCTTCTGTTCTAAGGGAGGTGTATGCGCCTACTGCAACACACGTACACCTATAGCTCGACTCACAGATCTTGAATCTTCCCTTTATGATGTCATCTGGCTCAAAATATCTCTACCAACTGTGACTATTTTTCTTTGTTTCCTATACTGTTCTCCCAACTCTACCAACCATTTCGAACTCTTTGACTATCTCACTCCTTGCCATGAGTCATTGCTATCCACACACCCCAACACCGAGATCCTCTACCTAGGGGATTTCAATGTACATACAGAGAGCCCTATGACCTCCTCCTACAGGTCCCCAGCTGTTACCAACACCTCTTCCCTCCCTGACCAGATATCCCTCCTCCTAGTGACAGGCCTGTCACTTGACATTATTAGGGACCTGCCACGCTTTGCTATAAACAGATGAAATGTACCGGGAACTTTCCCCCCCACACACTCATCATTCTCTCACTTTACGTAACTTGACAAAACCTATGACCCTTCAGGCTTTTACGCCCTTAATGGACGAGTCATAAAGGCAAGTATGAACTCTGCATACTTCCCAGATGGGTGCTGTAAACGCTTCTGCGCTTCACCTTGCACAGGATGTAAGGGGGTGCCCAATAAACTAGCCCCCTCGGGGGCAAATCTGAATCTGAATCTCATCACAGAGAGTGGCTTGGCTCTGCAAGGGATGACCCAGGTGGAGCCGAAGCACTCTCTTTTTCCTTACTTAATGATTTGGAACAAATAATCAAACACCCTACACGCGTTCCTGATCGACACGATCAACTTGCTAACATTCTTGATCTTTGTTTTACCTCTAACCTCTCACACTATTCATACTCAATTTCTGCCCCTTTAGGGTCTTCTGATCACAACCTTATTTCTATTAAATCAAACTGGGCACGACCACCTCCCCTACCCCCCTCTAAACGTCAACTATGGCACTATCAGAGGGCAAGCTGGCAATCCTTGCGAGAATTCTTCACTGACTTTCCTTGGGATGAATGTTGCTTTTCCACTCGGGATGCCTCGGTATGTGCTGACAGCATTGCTGGGGTTATAAAGGGTGGTATGAGTGCATTTATCCCATCTTCTACCAAGACTTTCACATTACAATCATGGTTTGATAACTCCTGCTCTCTTGCTTGCAGGGTGAGAGATAGGGCATATCGAGCTATGAAACTATATCCTTCTCCTTTTACCCACACCTCTTTCGTTACTTCTAGGAATCATTGTAAGGCTATTCTTTGTAGGGCCAAGCGGAATTTTATAAAAAGAAAGACCACTGTCCTGTCTAATTCTTCCTCTAGTAAATCCTTCTGGTCCTTAACCAAAAACATCTGCAACAACTTCTGCACTCCTTCTTTCCTCCCCTCTTCTGATCTGAATACTCTATTGCCAACTCTCCCCCTGACAAAGCCAAACTCTTTGGCATCTTATTCTCCTCTAATTCCACCTTAGACGATTCCCACTCTATCCCTCCCACCCCTGCACCTCCTACTGAACCTATGCATTTTCATATAATCTCCACTCGCAGGGTTGCCGGTGTGTTATCCAGGTTGGATGTGAGTAAGGCGCATGGACCAGACGGAATACCCCCTCGTTTTCTGTGGGAGTGTGCTGAAGCTCTGGCCCCTGTGCTTGCTCGCCTCTTTTGCCTCTGCCTCAAAACCCAAACTTTTCCTTCTTCTTGGAAGCATGCCTTGGTTCAGCCCATCCCAAAGAAGGGTGACCATTCTAATCCCTCCAACTATCGCCCCATTGCCCTAACTTCATCCTTCTCTAAGATTTTCAAAACTATCTTGAACTCCCATTTTCTCCGTCACCTGGAACGCCTTTCTCTTTTGTTGGATCACCAGTATGGCTTTCGCCAGGCGAGATCAACTGGTGAGCTGCTCTCCTATTGCACCCATCTTTGGTCATCCTCTCTTAGGGATTATGGGGAAACTTTCGTCATGGCCCTCGACATCTCCAAAGCATTTGACAGGGTATGGCACAAGTCTTTGCTATCTAAACTTCCCTCTTTTGGTTTCTCTCCCCCACTTTGTTTTTTAATCTCTAGCTTCCTTGAGAACCAATCCATGGCAGTTGTTGTCGAGGGATCGATCTCTCGCTCTTTCTCTACCAGTAGTGGTGTCCCACAGGGTTCTGTTCTTTTGCCTACTCTCTTCCTTCTTTTTATCAATGATATACTTCACACTACAGCTAATTCTATCCATTCTTACGCTGATGATTCTACTTTCTAGAGCTGATATCATTACTTTTATCAATGTGGATCTGTGCAGCATCTCTGAATGGGGAGGTACAAACTTGGTTAAGTTCATTAGTAATAAAACTCAATATTTACCAATTACACTTTGTAAATTAGACGATCTCCCACCAATTACATTTCAGGACGCTATCATCCTGCCAAATTCTGAAATAAATATGTTAGGCCTCACCATTTCCTCCAATATGTCCTGGAAATCACACATCCTTAATATAGCTAAAGCCGCCTCCCGAAAGTTGGGAATGCTGTACAGATGCCGTAGCAACTTCACTCCTGAGCAGTTGCTCCAAGTATATAAGGGATTTTTTCGTCCTAACTTGGAGTAATGCTCTCATATCTGGGGTGGCTCTTCTTCTGTCCAACTATTAGATAGGGTGGAATGAAAGGCATTTTGTCTTATTAACTCTCCTCCTTTAGTCGAGAAACTCTCTTCCCTTTCTCTTCACCGCAATGTTGCTTCACTCTCTCTCTTTTACAGGTACTTTAACAGGCAATGTTCGGTGGATTTGGCATCCTTTGTACCGCTGGTAAGGCCGTGGGCTCCTAACACACGTCTTTCCCGCGGTGCCCACCATTTCTCTGTGGATGTCGAGAATAACCCGTTATAGTACCTCCTTCTTTCCTCACACAGCCAAACTGTGGAATGCTCTGCCTCCTTCTGTGTTTCCATACTTATACAATGTCTCACTTTAAAAAGCTGGTTTTCCGGCATCTTCGTGGTGTAGGTTAACACAGTATAATCTTTTTCTTCTCTATTTTAAATTTCTTTCTGTTCTTTTTTTTTCGCCCCCCAGGCCCCGTTGTGGGTCGTTTGACCTGTGCCCGGGTTGGCTAATTCCCGTAAAAAAAAAAAAAAAAATATTTAAGAGTTCAGTGAGTTACTTAACAATTAAACATCAGCCATCGTCAGTAGAAGTTAGCAATTGGTACAGCAGTCATCATCTGTAGAAGTTTCATGTTCCTTGTGTTACATTTTTGTGCATATGGGTGGAAAGTAGAGAACCTTTAACCCCTAGTTAAAGGTTAATAAAGAGTCAATTCATAAGTGATAAATATTATAAGAATGACAAGAGCCATTGAGGATTTATCACCCTTGTGAGGGTGTCAGTTTAATAATGCTTTAATAACTGTTGAAACTGCAACTTATCTTAGTAAAGGCTGTATGAGTCCTTGAATCTGGACTTACCGGTAGTGAGTAAATTTTGAGAATTCATATTAATTTATCAAACTGGTACAGTACTGTACAGTATAGCCTTTTGAAGTATTTACCTTAAACTTTCAACCAGAAAGACACATTCAAGCCTTAACAATCTCCCCACCTAGCATTTTTAGTTCAAAGGATCTCTGATTCCCTATGTGTAGACAGAATTATTATTTTCCATTTATGATTATACATAATTACCTGAGAACCCAGGATTGTTGTCCTTGGTTTTCTAAAAGTCATAATATCTAACTCTAACATGGGTTTCTGATTTGATTGTCATGTTAGAATGGAGCATTGAAGTCCAATCCGATTCTCTCATGAGAATATGTTATAGTTTATGCAGCAAAGTCAAGGAAACTTTGGAGAACTGTTAAAAGTTGGCAGATGATGTATATATAAAGATAAACTGTCTGACATACAGTATAAGAAAATCCAGTGTACTCCCGAAACTTTAAAAGTTTAGGAGGTAAGACTCCAGTATCTCTGTCATTATACTGTATCCTAAAATGTTATTCAACCACAAAAACCTTTTACTCTGAAATGATGATAAGCTTTTGTCATAGACTATAAATTATGCTCTGATGGAGAATGATGAGGGTATTAAAAAACGGATATGATTATAAAATTTTCTTAAGAAAATGACAAGATTTGCTTGCTGAATACATTGATGTAATCAGATTTTCTGTACACCTAATGAGAGCCACAAACAACAGGAGAGAGGATACATTGTATGTGACCAGGTGGGAGGTGGGGGGGATCGGAGAGCTGCTGCATGCTGTAGCTTTGGACTGGTTTTTATTATTGATTCAATGTTATATTCTTATATGATTAACCTCTTATGGTGTACAATTCATCATGAATAATATAACATTTTCATTAACAGAAAAAATATAATACTGTACTGTATACTACAGTATGTAATTGGTAATTTGACCTGAAAATAAAAGGATAATTTTTTTTTTAAATCATCACTTCTCACCCTCCCGTTATGTTTCAGGCTAATGAAAGCTTTCAATAATACAGAAAACATTTACTGTATTATGATAAGATATAAAATATAGCAAAGTATCACTCGATGAAAATAATTGTACGTACAGTACTTTTTTTTTTCATTAAATAATAATGGAGACCGATACTTAATTGGTCTGGGCATACAAGGAATATTGATTTGAGCTGTGGCATTTCTGTGGTCATGTGCTGGCATGTCTGCAGTAACCTATGTACTGCAGACTGTATTCCAGCTCCTGCAAATCATTAAACCACACATGTGGTGTGAAGAATTGTGTTCATGAAAATTTATCAACAAATGTCATTGCTAAGCAGGACACCTCTGGCATGTTAACTTGCTAACACAACAAACCTTACTGAATTCTGTTTGTAAAAGCTAATATTTCTATTGCTCTATTTAATGAAACCTTGAATTGTGGTAGCTGTAGCAAACAGATCCCTGAAGTGTCAAAAAAGATTATTGTTTAGCTTTTGTAAAATATAAGTAGAGTAGGGGAAAACCAGTCTGTTGCTACTGTCCTATCAGGAAGTCAACTAGAAAATGAATTATAAAGTAGTGAATTGACTTAAATCAGACATGACAGACAGCATATTTTCCTGTGTAATATGCTGATTAGGCGGATTTGGTTCTAATAAGATCTCCTAGCCTTTGGTTTAGTAAGGAGGGACAGGTGATTGTTTATTAAAGAGATTAACAAGTCAACCCTGGTTAACATTACAGAGGATTATCTGACTACACAAACCCCCCAGTAAGCAGGCTTGTGTTATGAGAGTCACCTGGTTTTGGAACATGAGCCAGAAAATGTGATTTCAGATTCACTTCATTATTACTGTATTGGTGCCCAGTATTCCATTTCTCTATTTATATAGTTACTACTGGATTTATTTTCCATTGAGGAGATAGGTATATTTTAACCAAGTAAAGGCATATCAAGTCCTCTATTTGCTTGCCAGTCATCCATAGCTTTATTAATATTAAGTGCTTACAGTTGAATCAACACCATCTTTGTAATATTAATGCTTTTACCTCAGAATGGGTAGCAGCATGGGCTACTACACAGCGAGCGGCATGCCAGGTGGTGGAGTGTACCAGACAATGGGGGGCATGCAAGGTATGTCTGGAGGGATGTATGGGACCCCCCAGGGCCCCACGGCAGCAGGTCACACTACTACTGTCTCCTACAGGGCACCAACACCCCCACAGACACCTAGCACACAGGCAAGTCAAGCTGAGGCTCTGAGTGAGGTTGTACAATAGGTGTTATCATGATGACATATTTTTTGCCTTAGAAAGTATTGAAATGTGGCATCATTTCACTTTCATGGAAATTGGAAAACTAGTTTTATTTAAGTCTTTGTATTAGTATTAAATGAACACTAATTGTTCATTGATGTTCAATTCTCCATCATAAGCAATAGTTAAATATATACAACCAGTCAGTCAGAACTCTTAACTGACTTCCTACTAAGATGTAGCAGCAAATCAAATACATTGGAATTGCACATTTTTATGCTTAATACAGTATTGCTAATTACCACCTGTAAATATAATGTCCCCTACCTACAGTATAACACACTAAATTATACATTCTCAGTGATAATCCTTCTAACTCAACCTTAGTTACATTATTTTATTAAAGAAAATTACTTTCTTAGGCTGAAAATTGCAGTGGCTCACATAAACTGTGCTGTATACTTTATATATGCCAGATATAAACAGTAAACAGGTCACAATGTCTGTATATGTGTGTGTAAGTACATTATGCTTGCCTGATGTATGTCAGTAGAGTATCTAATTAACTTGGCTGTTTAATGTTATTGGTTCAGCTTATACCTATTCAAAGTATTTTTTATAAATGTTAACTAATTTTGAAATTAAAAGGATAATTGAAAATTATTGTGTTTTATAACTGCAGAGTTATCCACTAGAATTTTAAATCCTCTTAATTATTAGGCTTATCAGGCTTATCTATGAACAAATATAGAGTTGGAGTTAACTTAGCATTGAATCAGCTAATCTTTGTCTTTGGTAAGCAGTCTTAGAGCTGAAAGCCATGTGCAGGAGTACAGTGTCTTTCAAACACATAGAATACTGCTAAATGGGGTGACTCAACCTTCAAACTACAAGTTAAGTGATAGTAAAGCATGAAAAAAATAATTATGTCTACGTATACAGTACTTGGTAAAATAATTTGTAAAACTTGTGGACACATGATTGTATAGGTTATAGATAACCTAGATAGCCACTCATTAAAATGAGCACTGTAGAACACATTGCTTGTTGTTTGAAGACACACTGCTCTTAAGAGTCACCCTTGTCTATAATGTAGGTTCAGCTGGGTCTATTCTAGTGCTTGGTCACCATTCTTATTGCTGTACTTTAATGTTTCACTTGTACCAGCCTCTTTCTCACCACTGTTCTACTTTTCCATGGCTATTTTCTATAATTGTTTAGCCAGTTCTTATAGTACAGTATGTACAGTATTTCAGTCTTTGTACTGTACTGTATTTCACATAATACATTATTTCACTTTGTTACAGTAGTTCTCAACTAAATCCAATAGTAACAGCCACCCTGTTGTATTGTCTCCACCACTTCTATACCGTGTTCTGCAAAATTATTTTAAATAGACCATTAATTTACCTAGTCAAAAATTATGAAAATCAGGGAGCACATTGCTAACAGATAAGTCTGCTATGGTGGAACAGTTTTCTTATGCCAATTAATACAAAAAAAGGTGGGGAGGCATCTGGCATGGTATGTGCACCTTTAGCGTGTTTGTGTTCATCTGCATATCTGTAATCATCATCATCTTCAAAACTCCTGAATCAGTGAGGCTACAGTTTAGGAGCCTGTCAGAAGGGCAATTGAAAATTTCCTTATCATTTCATTTCAGTATTGAAGATGAATGTCATAATTACCAGACTAGAGTACAATGATATCTCCATTAGCCGTAACAATTGGTGCAGAGCACTATGGGAATGAGACATTTCTGGGTAACGAGACGACTGTCTCAAACCCGGAGAAATACCCCATCCCCGGAATTTTTCGAGATACAGGGGGCCCCTGACTTACGAACGTCCAACTTACAAACAACCGCTGATATGTTCAAGGTCCCATAAGGTCAATTATTTTAAAATCTGACCTAAGTACAACTGGTTTGTAGCAGTTACATACGAGAACTGGTTTGCGCGGCGTAGAGGGGAGGCGGAGCGGCGTGTCGGGAATGATGCATTACACCAGTCATGCGCCTTGAGGGAGAGAGAGTGTCAGTTCGCTTTATCCTCACTGCCTTAATGTGCATGATCCAGTGCAAACTGTTGTTTTCTGCTTATTAACTCTCTCTTTTGGCCCTCATCGTGGCTCCCAAATGCAAACCTGATGTAAGTGATAGTAGTGCATCCAAGAAAAGGAAAAAAGTTACGACGGAAGTGAAAGTTGATGTAATTAAACGTTCTGAAAAAGGTGAAACACCCTCAGTGATCGGTAAGGCATTGGGCTTCAGTTGATCGACGGTCGGAACAATTTTGAAAGACAAAGATAAAATTCCTGAATATATAAAAGATCTATAGCAATGCAAGCAATGCAGTCAACTGTGATAACAAAACAAAGAAGTGGAATGTTAATTGAAATAGAAAGATTGTTAGTGATATGGGTGGAAGATCAAAATCAATGGGATTTGCCTCTAAGTCTAGCCTTGATTCAGGAAAAATGAGAAGCTTGCATGCTGACTTAAAGGCCAAGGTGAAAGTGATGGGGAAGATTTTGTTGCTAACAGGGGCTGGTTTAACCGGTTCAAGGTAAGGGCAAATGGTGTTTGGAAAAAACACTGCTCACAGTTTGTCCACGATATCAGGGACTCTGAAAATGATGTTGGGGAAGTGACACAGACAGTGGTAGACACCTTGGAAACCAACTCCAACTTGATATTCAGGAGGATGATGTCACACAATTGCTTGAGTCAATAGCTGAAGAATTAAGCAATGAGGACCTGCTTAAACTGGAGAAGCAAATTTGTCAGAGGATTTAGAGGAGGCTGAAACTCCAGAACCAAAGGGATTTATTACAAAAGAAATGGCAGATTGTTTCAGGCTTATTAAAGAAGGATTGTTTAAATTTAAACAGCAAGATGTCAACACAGCAAGATTCACCAAAATTCATAGAGGTATTACTGAATATCTACGATGCTACAGAGAGATTTATGACAAAAAGAAGAAAGTTTCAGTTCAACCGTCCCAGTAAAGCCTCTGTCACTCTTACAAATGCCCATCTCTACATGCAAGCCTGGCCCAGGTTTTAATGTGTTACACTTTAATTTTTACTTTTCTTTACTGTATTTTGTCATTCAATTTCTTCTTTTCTCTTAAATTAAGTGATTTGAGATGTATAAAAGGACTTGGGCTATGATAGAGTGCACATAGGGTATATGTTTCCAACTTACGTACATTTCCGACTTAAGAACATCCTCAGGAACAGAACCCGTTCGTAACCCGCAGACCCCCTGTATTGGGAAAAGTTTTGGAATTTTCCGCAAACTGCACATTATAAAATCTCTCAAACCTGGGGAAAAAAAATCCCCCATCCCCAGATTTTTTCCTAGTACCAGGAAATTTTTGGCAGAATTTCCAGAAAAAGTGCCTCATTTTCATCTCTCAAACTCAGGAAAAAATCCCCCATCCCTAGAATTTTTCCAATTTCCTGGAAAATTTTCTTGGAATTTTCTAGAAAATGCGCTCCTCGGAAAATCTTTTGCAAACTGGAATTTAGTGGAAAATTCTGAGTAAATTTCGGTTCCAGCTGACGGAGAGTTCCGGCAAAGAGGGATTTCGGCTAACAGAGATATTACTGTAACTTAGGTAAATATTTACAGATAGTATTATCGAGACTAGCATTTGAAATTGTAAAATAAAATCATCCCGGTTCTTAAGATGATGAGCCAACAGAGAAACAGCTGTACAGTAGGATCTCATGTTTCGCGACTAATTGGTACCGGTTACAGCGTCACAAAAGTTAAAATCGCGAAATGAGTGACATTGAAATACATATAAATAAACTAATGAGTTCTGCGGTGTCACCCAAACCACCCTATAATGACCTAAAACCCACCAAGAAAATGACATTACAGTAATGTATTCATACATATTATATTGTACATATTGTTGATAACAATATTTATATACACTCATACTGTAGAATAACTTACCTTGATGGATTCAGTGAAATGCTTGACGGGGCTGGTTGATGGGTTCCGAGACAGGGAGGGCTGGTTACTGCTTCCTCCCTGCTCCCTCCTCTAACCTCAGCATCAAATCCCTCAAAGTCTTGAGGCAGCTCTTCCACCAGTAAGTCACCCAACACTTCAATATCATCATCGGTGGTGTCATCATCTCCTGAAGCGATGTTTGCCAAGGCATTAACAGGCTGGGCCTTGCACAGGTACCCAGTCATAAGGGCCTGCTGACGAGCATTAACACGGGACATGTACAAGGCCTTATATTCTTCCATACCCTTATCAAGGGCAGAGCACATAAGGTTCCGAGGATGAGGCCTGGTATCATATTCTTCTAGCTGTTCACTGAGACGTGCGATGTTTGTGAGCAACTCAGTCAGCTGATGTGTTGTAGGTTCACCAGGCTTAACGTCATCCACTTGGGTTGGTTGCTGTTTTTTTTCTTCAACCTCCTCCAACATTTCTTCAATTGTCGGCTGCTGCTGATGTTGACCAACAATTTCTTGTAAATCTTCAACCTGAACATCTGAAAATCCCGGTGCTGGGATTGAGCAAGCTGCCTCCGCTGTGTCCATTAGTGTTGCCGCCACGGACTGCTTCTCTCCGCTTGCTGCGGTCTGCCTCTTTCCGCTTGCCGCGGTCCGTTCTGCCCCACTTATCTCGGAGTTAGCGAACAAAGGCTTCCATGCAGGGTCTCAACACAACATACATATGTTATTTCTCACTTTTCATCTTTTTTCATTCATGTATTTCTTATGGTTCGTTATTATTATTACAGTAAAGCCTCTGATAACAACGGTTCGGCCAACACAACTTCTCACATTTAAAACCCTAGTTGATTTAGGACCCAATTCAATTTACGTCCTTATTTCATTCGCATTTACGACCAAAATATAATTAAAATAAAATTAAATTAACTTTTCATATACAGTCAGTCCTCGACTTAAAACGGGGTTAGGGACCGACGACCAGGTCGTAAGTCGAATTG